TAATGTGTCGGAAGAACATTGACAAGACTATCGTGGAAGGTAAAGTATACAGTAAATGGCTACGGTAGATGGATCAACCCCGCTAAGATGGATCAAATGAAAACTGACTGGCGAACCTCTTCGAGAGATCGCATCTCGGACGTTGGATAGAGTGACGTCAGAAAAGCGATTTTTCCAGAGGATCACGACGTCTCGCATGTGTGGCTAACGACTTAGAAGAAATTTATAAATTAAACTAGGAAATGATAACGAAAAAGCGATTTATTTGACCTCGTCCATTTGTTTATAACCTAATTGGTATATTTCACAAAAAGAGATCCAATGGAAACGAAATTATACGTTGGTATTTATTAATTAAGTTAGGAAATGATAATGATAAAGTGATTTATTTGTCATCGATTTCTATTTGTTTATAATTTAATAACGAAAGGAGATCGGAAGGAAATAAAAATTAGCTATGAAATAATAATGAAGAAGCGATTTATTCATCATCGATCTCTATTTTTTTATAATTAATATTTAACAAAAAAAGATTGAGTGAAAACGAAATTATTAAAAATACGCGACTTATTCGTCCTTGATTTCCATTTATTTATAACTTAATTTTGTTTTATAACGATTATAACAAGTAATATTTAAAACTAAATGAAAACGAAGATATATATATAAAATTTAATACATATACTGCAAATTATACGCTGATATTTATTAATTATTGTTCTTCTGAAAATACAAATAACCGTCTTGATATTTTTATCCGACTTAAGTATATCTTAAATTCTCTTTTTTTTAAAATTTATTATATAAAACTATAATATATTATATAAAAATTTATATCACAAAAAAAGGGGTCAATTTCGGCTTCCTCCAAATTTCGTCTAAACATATGAAAATTTATTTCATAGGATCAATTGTAAGGTAAACTGTTTATAGGAAGACATTCATCTCTGCAAAGTGCGTGATATCAATACAAATTTTTTTAAAAAGATGAAAAAAGACGCTAAGAATATACGTGCTTCTCGAATATAACCTAAGTATCCAATCCAAGTAATAGTAGTTTAATTCTTCTTCAAGGATATTTTTTAAAGGTCTTCTTATTCTAAAGTTCTCTGTCAAATATTATTACTTCTCAAAAAAAATTTACCAAATGAAAAATTAAAACTCAGATATCTTAACTAATTAATAAGTTAATTTTATCAAATTAAAAAATGAAACCATAGTGATACTATCTGTCTTATTTACTTAACCCTAATAATACGTATTTGTATAAAAGATTTAATTTCAACAACTGACGCTAAATTAAATTCTACAAAATTTTAGTATCATTCATATTAGAGATTTGATCAACAAATGGCGCCAAATTAAATCGCATACCAAATTAAATAAAGAATACAATTTATAATTGCGTTGCTTGTCCATTCAAGTGTTTTCACAAAAAAAATTAAAGAAGTTAAAGTTAAAGAAGTTGATGCTAGATCACAGTATAACATAGTGCTAAAAACATGAATGTAATATATTTAAAATATTTAAAATAAGAAGAATGAAAAACTTTTCCACGAAAGTAAAAGTATTCACCGTAGGTATATATTCGATTGGTAAAACAATCGTATAAATGACGAAAGTTGTGTAAACCATTAGGTTTAAGTCTTATTGTAATACAAATAAACTTAGAGTAATAAAACTTTTTACGAAAAAGAAAAAAAGGAATAAAGAAGGAATAAACAATAAACTTTATCTTGATTCAGTGTAACATCAGATTAAATTCATTAAATGTCCCAATTAATAACAAAATTATTTTGAGGCGAAAGAGAATTAATAAATTATCGATACGTATGTCACAATAAACATGAAAGTAATTTTTTTATAAAGTTTGGACATTTAAGATTGTCATTAAATTTTGTTATTTTCTTAGAAATTCTTAATTTATAATATTATATTTTTATAAACGTAATTTGTGTAATTTGTGTATCATTTAATGACACATATATTCGAAATTGTTCCAATTTGTGATGCATATTAATCCATATCACTGATAGGTGAAATTAACATACAACGTCTTTATTACTGACACACAGTTAAATAATCCTATATTTAATTTAAATTATTTTTAATCATATCTATAGATTGTCACTATTCATACTCAATATTTCGTTAATTTGATTAAAACATTGGAATTAAACAATTTAACTCATGAAAATATACTGCCATCTTAGGTTAGGAACTGTTCTGGCTATCACAAATTGATACAAAATTATGAGTATCCTTATTACTAATTTAAGCGATAATTCATAGAGTAGATACTCATATATATATTTTTTTTAAATTCTGGAAGACTATAAGTGATATTAATATCTTTAATTTAATAATGATTGATTTATAAATTACAATACATTTTTTTTAAATAGGAATTTTTATTGTTTTATCATATTTGTTTGAAATCAGTAATAAAAACAAATAAATATTTTAGTACCAATTAGTGACACATTAATTAATAAAACATATATTTTTGTGACGTTTTCAGTTTATTCACAATGCTTTTTAATATCTATTTAATTTTGGGCATGCTTACTTTTATTTATTTTTAGTTTAATAATAATTAAAATTATTCGACGAAAAGACTATCAATATAATCGTTGCCTCACAAGATATTAGTGAGCATCTGTTAGATTTGTTATCGCTGATATAACATGCTTACAATTATAATATTTTAGCATTTACAAAAGCGTTTACTTTTATTCAAAATTCGTTGTAATATTAGATGTACAACTTTGCTTCCGCCGTTTTCCTATAGATGGCTTTAGCGGTAAGTGGTAGTCGAAATAAATAGATCATAGACGTCATACAATAAACTTGAGCATTTGTCAACATAACTCCATAGAAACATTAGTCGATTTGTGTCTGCATCATAAAGTTATTCTCGATTGAAAATGTCAGTTTACGAGCAAATTCTCGTCATTTGCAGGAGGTTTTAATTTTTTGCTTCAATATAAAGAAATCTGCGGCTGAGGCTCATCGAATGCTCTCAAATACTTATGGTGAGGCCGCTATTAGTGAAAGAACGTGTCGTGAGTGGTTTCAAGAACGCTTCAAGAACGGTGATTTTGCTCATGCTCTGTATTTGGTGGAACCAGCTCGGTGTAATGTATTATGAACTGTTAAAACCGACTGAAACAATCACAGGCGATCGGTATCGAACGCAATTGATGCGTTTGAGCCGAGCATTGAAAGACAAACGGCCGCAATACAACGAGAGACACGATAAAGTGATTTTGCAGCATGACAATGCTCGACCCCATGTTGCGAAAGTGGTCAAGACATACTTGGAAACGTTGAAATGGGAAGTCCTACCCCACCC